TTGAGCAATTCGATATAACACAGGGGTACTAAATGCAATAAACTTCATAAAAAATAACTTGTCGAGATACCAAAATGTCGAAGTATATAGCTTTGTCCTCGCTGGAATAAGTATCCGATTCTTTCGGGATGGTCGACGAGGCACCTGCATGAAGCAAGAAAGCGAGCATATTTTCTCCGAGATGTTGAAGCGAACCGGGTTTCAAAAGACTCAACTTGTCATTCTGCATTTTTAATAAAATAATTATTACAAATTATGTTCGTAAAACATAATTATTAAAAACTTAATATTTATTAATTAGCAATTATTTATACCTTGGTGTGGTATACAGCAGTGTTATCTGCGTACGCAAAGTCGAGACCCGAAAGTCCTGCCAGCTCTTGGTACACTTGAAAGTCGGTTGCGGATTTTATAGCACCGGAAGTAAAAACATCCTGTCGAATTTTTAAATATTAAGACGAATAAAATAAAAAAGATAGTAAAATAAATTTATTTACATTCTATTCAGACAACAAACCTGAGCTGCAATTTGTGCGGACGGATATTTAGATACCGAAGCGTAGTTTTCAATGGCCCACGGATTTGGTCCAGCCTGTTAACCAAGTATAAGTCGGAAGGTCATATATACAAAGACGATAATTTTCTATTTTTTTTATTTAAAAAAAAAAAAGAAATCGGACCTGGAAAATACCGGATTTGCCACCTATACCAATTGCTTCCAAATCAACGGCAACTCGTACTGTATCACTCCAAGGATGCTGCAGCAAATACAAATTTGAGTTATTTAAATAATTAGTGCTGCTTAGGCTGAAATATACAAACTATACAATTAAATATTATTAAATCAAAAAACTAGCAATAAGATAAAACAAGAAAGTTCGTTTGAGAATCACGACAGAATTTAAAAAAAAAAAAAGAAGAACAAAAAAATCAATTTTTTCTTAAAACTAAATAAATAAATAGAAAATGAACACAATTTACTTGAATTTAATACAAATGGGAAACCTGAGAAATAAAACTGTGAGCGCCGTTCAAACCTTCTTCCTCGCCGGTATTGAATAAAAATATAACAGAGTTTTTAAATCCGTGGGCCCACTGAGAAACTCCTCGTGCGAGCTCCAGCATAACAGCCACACATGAACTGCAATCACCAGCTCCTTCCCTGGAAAACAAAAATACATATATTAAATCAAATGTAGCCCTAATCTACGAGAGAAAACTCGGAAAAATATTTCGTAATTTTAAGTACTCTTTTCGCAACTCTAACGCATAACGAACTAATGGGTTTGAACCGACTCAAATTACATTTCCAGCGGGAATGTTGATCATATTTAATTTATCGACTATTAGGGCCAGGTGTTCAGACATTATAACGCCAAGCCGAATTATAACATTATCCTAAAACGAACTATCGTAGAACAAAATCTTGAAAAACGTAAACTTCGGTTGAAAAATATATAGTTCACAAACATACCCTGCAAACACAGTGTCGATGTGGGAGGAGACGAGAATCGCGTTTTCGCCTGCTTCGGACGCGTATTTGGGCGAGATTCTTAAAACGACATGATTCAAATCCGAATAAACGAGGCTTTTCCCTTTAAAAAGTCCGCCAACCAGACCGTTAAAACCCGATTTCACATGGAACAAATCGACTTCCACATCCACCTCCCAATGAGCACTTGCCTTTATAGTTTCCGACACATTCGCAACATACTGCAGCAGCCCAAAAAAAAAGGCTAAATTACGAGAATGCCATCATAGCAAAAAAATTAGACAACGAAGAAAAATCAGAATGCCGAGAAATTACCTTTATAGCCCTCTCGAGGGATTCGGAGCCAACGGAGTGTGGGCCCAGCTGTGTCAAAGCTTGAACGTGCTTCATCGCCTCGTGCTCGGAAAACCCTCGTTTCCCGACCTGCTGGAGCGACATGGGCGAGGGGAGAGTGTCGAATTGGTAGTGATAAACGCCCCAAGCGCCGTATATCACCAACACGAACAATGCGAGTATCGCGTAAGAGGATCTTTTAACGGTCACCACCGCAACATCATTGTTACTGTTCGAATCTGCGGTCCCTTTTCCACCACTAGTTGTTTCTTGATTGCTAGTCGAATTTGAATTTGAATTTGAATTTGAAGAACCATCTTTCTTAGGCCTATTCCTCATCTTTCTTTTTCAATTTACAAATCAAAATTTTTTATTTAAAGGGTGAAACTATCCTGGTAATCCAACAAGTATAACTTCATGTCAGAATTAATTAAAAAAAAAAAAAAAATGATCCGAGCAAAGTTCTTCATAGTGCGTTCATGTATTGCTGTAATACCACCAGAGAGACATAATAATTGAATTCTACAACATGGGTTTGTATCCAAACATCAAAAAACAGCAGCCCGGATTGCAAGAGAGAGAGAGAGAGAGAGAGAGAGAGAGACAGATAGAGAGAGAGAGAGAGAGAGAGAGAGAGAGAGAGAGAGAGAGAGAGAGAGAGAGAAGAGAGAGAGAGAGAGTAAAGGGGTGAATTGATTACCTTGGAATGGCGATGGAATTGTCTGAAATCAAGAGAGATGGGGAAGTAGTATAAATTAATTAATTAATTATACGAGGATGTAAAGAAAGAGATGAGTATTGAGTTTGGTTAGTTAGAATTATTGTTTGATTCGGAGTTTTTAGTAATGTTTGTTTGTTTACAGTGACGTCTGTCTCCAGACTCCCACTGAGCTTTAAGTCAAACGAAAGATACGGCGTCGTATTAGATATTTTATCCAGTATTTTTTCTCAATTGGGCAAATTACCAAAACCCCCCTGAGGTAAGCCTAAATAACGAAAATCCCCCCCACGTTCTCGTAATTACGAAAATCCCCCTTGACTAACGGTAGATCGAATTTTTTTAACCGAAAACGTGAAATGTCTATTATATCCTCCTGTTAAATATGTGATAATAACAGAAAAAAGGTGAAAATGTGATTCTCTCAGAGAGGGAGGGAATTGCTGCTGGCGGCGACGACGGAACAGACGTTTTCAGAGCGGAGGGCGGTGATTGTGCAGACCCATTCTCTCTCTTCATTGTTCCCAATCCCTAGGTGCCCATCTTCCCCTGAACCCCTGAAAACCAGTGAAACCACAGACTTCAAAAAAAATAAAATCAGAGTATGATTAGCAGTGTGAGTGAGTGAGATGAGTGTTGACGGAGAATGAATGATTCTGCCGCCACTGTTTTTGCTGCTACTGCAATTTTATTAATCAGTCGGAAAAAAGAAAAAAAAAAGAAAAAAAAAAAGTGAGGTTAATTAATAATATCAATATGGATATATATATATATATATATATATAAGTAAATTAATTAATTAATTAATTATATGTTTGTTTAGTATAATAATTAGTGGGTTTAAAAGGTGAAGAGATGGTGCGAATCTGATTCGAAATAAAGTTTGGAGTATCAGCCCATTTCATTATGTGCGTGTTGATTTCTGGGTATGCTGTCATTGATTTCGGCAAACTCGAATACGGCTCGAGAACCGCCGACAAGAAGCTGCAGAAAATGGAGAAATTAGTCTCCGCCACCTCGTCTTTGCACGCAGCATTGGAGGGTTTGACGGAGATGGAGGTTTCGGAGAGGAGGCTGAAGCAATTGAAGGAGAGGCAGATCGAGCTGCTGCAGAAGGCCAATTTCGACCTTTTCAATCACAAACTCGAGAATCAGCGCAAAGATGTTCGAGATTCGAGCCCTAATCCGATCAACATCGCACCGGATAAAATGCTTACAATTACCCCCCTAAGGGTAATTTCGTGTACAAGGGCAAAATTGGTATTATCGGAGGAATATTCGGGAGAATCAAAAAGATTCTATCGAGTTTAACACCGTTAGAGCGATTTGTAAGACGTCTGCATACCTCAGGGGGGTTTTCGTAATTACGAGAACGTGGGGGGGATTTTCGTTATTTAGGCTTACCTCAGGGGGGTTCTGGTAATTTGCCCTTTCTCAATTTGATTTCTTTTTTTTTGGCTAAACTACGAAAATCCCCCTTAACTTTGGCTAAATTATAAAAAATACCCTCATCTATCCGTAATTACTAAAATTCCCCCAAAGTTTGTTCTCGTATTACACCAATCCCTTACGATGTGATTTTTTCACGAAATTTTTTTATGGGGAATATTCCCCGAAAAATGTTGATTCTACCCTTGAAGATGGGGCATCTTTTAATGCTATTTTTGAAAGATAAAAATTACAATCTAGGGGCCTTTAAACGGAACATGTATTCTTCTTATAATGACACATTCAAAGCATTTTAGTATTACTATGATCCCTTTGAGAGTAATTTATATTTATAGATTTTAAAAAGTAGCATAAAAGATTTTTTTATTGAATGATAAGGGTAGACATATTATAGGACGGTAGAAAATATTTTGATAGGGCAACGGTACCTAATATCATTATCATGATATTGTCATTCCATACAAATTTGGGGTCATTCATCAAAATCGATTAATTGGTGAAATTGAGTTTAAATTGGAGTTGGAAAAAATTTAGGAGTTTTTTTAAAATATTTTAAAATAATACAGGGGTCTTATTGCAATTTTCTCAAAGAAAAATCCAAATTAAGCCCTAATACAACCGTTGACCGTTACTTGTTGACGCCTGACGGTCAAACAGACGGATGGACTCAATATGTTAAAATGTGACAACATTATAGTGTATTTTGTTAACGGCGGTAAATGGGAGACCAAAGTGAAAAAGTGCAAACTTATGGACTAAAACTATAATTATCCCAGCAACTGTACCTAATGGCGAATATCAATATGGTAATTAATGGGGGACCTAACAGATCACACAATTCACAAGTAAAGAGCAAAACCATAAGGAAATTAGTGAAGGCTAAAATTGTCCAAAAAAACAAAAGATTAATTAAAGTCAATATTCAATGATGCAATTCATGGCAGAAAAGTTCCATGTCATGAGTAATAAGTCCTGATGGAAAAGCAAAAATCCAATTATTTTATGAAAGAAAAGAAAAAAACTGATAAAGTTTTGTGCAAAGTACACAAAGATCAAATTTCTTGAATGGAAGACCAATCAACGAACGCCATCGCAAGGCAATGGATAGAACCATCCGGAGCATGCACTCGCCACACCACAGCTTGTCCGTACGATACGCAACGGTCCATTACCGATAGACACTGTCCAGGTGGTAAAATAGCATATCCCTGAGAGAGAGAGAGAGAGAGAGAGAGAGAATTATGATGAGTTCACAAGTCAGAACTGTCGGTTTTTTTTAATGCAATATTAGAAAGCTCGGATAATCTAACTAGAGAGAGGAGCGAATTTGTAATATCGAAATTTACCTGCTGGTTTATAGTTGGGAGCATAGAATATAGTGATATATTATTAGAGCCACCGAGTACTCTATCCACCGTCAGATTCTGCAGATTGTCTGAATGTGTCTCTAGCATGGTAAGCCCAGCTTGGTTGGAGTACAGGCACACGGGGGCCGCCTGCAACAAAAAACGAGCAAATGTATACATATTTATCTTTCCAAGTATTGCCTCCACTTATCCAATCGAAATAAAAGCAATGTACAAGAATTGTTAGAGGCACAAAAACGATCGTGATAGTATAATGAACTGGTGTATGTATCAAACTTTATTCTTAGATATTATAAGCATCCATGTTCTTTGGTTTTTTCTGTGTTCTTTCCTTCTTATATTCTTTTTTTCTTAGTGAAGAGATTAGTACACACGTACCGTGTATGAGAAACAGATTATAGCATACGGATGAAACTGTATCTGTTCAAATGCTGAATCGGTACTCTGGGAGTTGAAGCCTAGTATGTCCACACCTAAACTTGACCTGTTTGAAGCAAAAACGACTGTCGGGTTAGTCAAATAAATAGAGCACGAGGCCCGTTTTATGATATCTCTTCCGAGTACTTGAACCAACTACACAAAATATATGCATGCATGTAATAATTAATAATCAGGACCGAAACCCCAGCAGCATACAGATTGAGTAAATTATTGAAATTGCATTCACAAATCATATCTTCGATTCACAAGACAGAAATTTGACAATACTACTTGCCTATAACTTTGGCATATCAGGGTCGCAAGATTGACGGCATAGGTTGATTCTGAACTGATGTTGTTGAACTCCGCAGCTGGATTTGCTTCAGTGGAGTTCATTTCGGGATTTGATCCTGGTGTCATTATTTCCATAGAAATTTTCTTCACAGATGAAATCACATGTCGGATATACTGTTGAGCCATGGCAACGACCTCTTCCTGGAGATGGGCTTCGAAAGGAAATTGAAAGGCCACAATCAGCATTGAGGGTGCCTGTGCACCATTCCTAGTATTCGATGCCTCGTTCGAAGTCAAATCGGTTGATGAATTTGTGTCCTGCCCATCAATGCAGTTAGATATAAATAGTTGTAAAGGATTAAGATACAGGAGAAAGAACTAAATGAACCAACACAAAAAACATTCATTTGAGAAAGTTCGATCATGTGTGTTAACTGGAAAGTTGTCGAGCCTTTTAAAAATGTTCGTCAACTCCAGAAGAAGTTGGCAAACACAAGAACATTTTAACTCAACTGTATGTGAACCCAACAAGTAGATCCGAAATCCAGAAGCAAATAAAACAGCATCATCGGGTATTGTCCTGTCAACTGGTGCAAAGATCAGTTCGGAGCAAGCTCCGAAACCATTGTCTTCCATTCCATTGCTCATCTGCATCAGTAACCAGGGTAATATAGCATATTAGGTTCCGTAAAAATAAAGTTTCATCGATTTGCACTCTAATTCAGAAGTGCGTTTGGATGAACTACTTCTTATATCATATATGATTGGCTCAACTCCTGGACCATGGTTTTACTTTTTATAGAAAAAGAAAATGCCTAATCACATTGTCGAACATAATCCGTAGTTAAGGCTGTGATCTCCTAACTAAGGCTATGTTCAACACCCATCTAGAATTACTCTTTTACTCCTAGTTCCTTCCTAGTTCGAATATATTCTCACAGAAACTTATAGTAAGAATATACTTGTTCTCCGAGACCTAGTTTAACAATTTGCGATGCATTGTTCTTATAATAAATAAATAAATAAAGGATTCACATCAATGTGCAGAAAGAGTTCAGAAAAAGTCAACAATCAGAGGAGGAGATGACTTGACCTGCAAATGATATATATCTCCTGAAGAAACAGTAAGCAGGAGGTCAGCGCTGCGGTCAAATCGGATTACTTCCAATGCCTGACACAGAAACATGAATAACATAAGCATGTAAATTGCACGAAGTGGAATGAAATAATCATATTTGTATACAGGTTTTGTCAAAGACAATAAGTTCCGTATCTCGTCTACGATTTCCAAAAATTCAGTAATCAAGCAAGGTTAAAAAAACAATAAAACATCATTTAAATTCAAGCAAACCTCGTCTTCGTGATTATTGTGGCCAAGCAGCACAGGAGCTCCAGATAAATTGTGGGTATTATGTCCTGGATATGAAAAGCAGGCGGCTTTGGTAAATGCCACAGAATGATCAGAGAAGTCGAAATCCATCCAAGCAGAACGGCGCTCTTTCAGAAGCTGCACCATGCTCGCAGGTACAATATTCTGCCACCAATATAAAAAGACTCTGTATGAATTTCAGAAATACAACTTCACAAATTAAACAAATTACCAAGTACGATATAATTTCTAGTACGACATTGACAAGAAACATAGTAGATCCAACCATGATTTGATCTTTCGACTGAGTAAAGAATCTTAATAGATCTAGAACTATAACATTGTTCCATGCTACCATTGGTCGAAATGATCAGCTATACTTAAGGCAGTAACTTGCATTAAACCACTAGCTATAATGTTCACATGCATAAAAACTATATTTCATGCAAAATGGTTTTGTGTTTCCTTCTCGGTCCATGCTACATCAGCCAAAATGATCGGCTACAGTTCAGGCAATATGGTGCATTCCGATGTTACTAAGGAATTGGATGGCTTCGCATGTAAACTAAATTCATGACGTAGTTGTTGGCAAATAAACTTGCACTACTACACTCCTTGGTATCTTTGATAAAGGTTATACAAGAAATCAATAGGTCACTTTTCCTGGTTGTATACTTACAGGGATCTCATCAAGTTTCATATTAAAGTCACCTATTGTCACCACCAATCTCACTCATCTATTTGTGGATGTTCTATTCAAGTTATGTTGGAAATACTAAATTATACTTGAAACATGGGTCCTTCTCCCCATATAAGCAGCCAATATTTAATTGTAAATCACAGTAACCCTCATTCTAACAACATTTACGACATTGTGAAACCTTGCTCATCACCGGATTCGAATGATATCTCACAGTTATTCATGAAGAAGGTTGTCTACAGAATAATATTCAAACAGTCTTTAGCAAGTGACAAATAGCAAGAATGTAATCAAAATGCATTGAAAAGAATACTCAATTCATCAAAATACTGCAATGAATTTCCAACTCTTCACTTAGTTTCACTCGTAAATAAATGTAGAAAGATGATATGCCCATATAACTTCATTTAATCAGTAATCATGTTGCAGCTATAGGAACGTACGATAGACACATTTAGGGGGGGAATAGTAGGTTAATAACTCACATGAAGTAGACAAGAGGCTTTCACGCATATTACAGTATCCGAAGTTGTATAAGCTCCAAAAATCGTTGTTCTCTTAATGGACATAATCACATCATCAGATGCATCGCCATTCATCAATGTCCATCCATCTTCAGAGAAACAATTGACGGCATCATTGAAGCCCCTAATACAACCATAAACATTTTAGTAATATGAAGCTTCACATAACCTTTCACGGCTCTCCAGAGTGCAGCAAATTATTTCAAGGATTTAAGAAAATATAGCAAAAATAGTCTTGTTTCCGAAAAGGCCCACTTTCCCTTCCAATAAGAGGTTGTAGAATACAGAAAATAAAGGATACAGGTAGCTGCCTATCATCCACTTAAAAACTTAATTAATTATCGTGATTTAACCTTTATCATAGTTAACAGATATTTGGATATGCCAGCAATAAAGGGAGGAGGTCCATAGAATATTGGCTTGATATGTAAATTCAAAAGTCTTACCTACTAAGTCTTTGGCTGAAAGATCTGAGAAAAGCAGGGTTCTCTTGATAAGCATGTGTCTGTTTGTCATTTGCTTCATTGGCAACGTGCTCAATATAGTGAAGTGCCTTTATATAAAAAACAAAATAGTTATTAGTATGTAAAAAGTAAGTATGTGTGAAATAACTGCCGGTTCTGATAAAGCCATTAATTAAAAAAATTATACTAGTGTACAACAAACATATTGGCTATATAAAATAAACATATTTGACACCAGGGAAGAATATCTAGTAATTATACAGTACAATCAACCAAATATCTTTTATTAGTATATCTTGGAAAAAATTTCCAACTTTCCTATTTTTTAGTAGTGCTTTTATTGCAAAAATCAATCTGAAATTTCTCGTCTGGAAGAAAGTCTTTACCCCTCTCCTCCCCCTTTCCACCCAAAAAAAGGAAAATAAAAAGAGCACTGACACTTAATCTTGCCCTATGAGTATTTAATATCATTTCAGAACCAACTATATCAGAACTAAAATATTGAGCTAAACTCTTCTTTAATGTCAAATCAAGGTAATAGTTGACAGCTACAGGTTTTTAAAGTCAACACTCAAGCTTGTTGAGATATGAACTTTTTCAACCTCAAACTCATATCTCATCAAGCTTGGGTGTTTGACTTTACAATGATCGAACTTTCGTGGAATTCAAACTCATTGATGCAACTTAAATTTGTTTCCGAAAAACCATCACCATTCTATTATTGAAACAATGAGCAAAATCCTAACTATGTTCAATTACTATAATAAGAAACAAGATTGTAAAAAAGATAGAAATGATTACTATCAATATTACGAAGTCCAAATAGAATTCCAATTCATAATACCAACTTCAAAAAATTAAAACAACTCAAATACAGAATATTGCATACTATGGTGCAAAATAAAATACATATATGGAAGTCATATAACTTCCCAAAGTGTAAAAAATAGTATATTTTTGCAAGTTGCCTAGTATATTGAATAACCAAAAGAAAAGGCACAAACCATAACAAGGAAAAGCATAAACCATATAAAGTACATAGATCTGTCATTTCTTGAGATCTTCTCGGTGGAAGCAATGCAGTGCAATTGCAAGCTAGCACTTGAGGCACTTGAGTAATGTCAAAGGTATACCCCGACTTTGTGGCTACTAAAAGAGATTTCTGCAACCATTATTGCAGAAATGGTGATAACTGGTGTTTTGAGGGTAGTGATCATTGTACGAAGGCAAACATTACAAGAATGTTCGATGGAAAATCAAAACTCAAGGCTTAACAACGATACTCATCTAGTAACTGTAATGCTACTAATTACAAATGGAATGTAATTATTAAAGGATCTATATTGGGCTATTAATTACCATGGAAAATCAAAACATTAAATGTTTGATGCAATGGTTTTCTGGTTGGCTGTATAATTTCAGGATAGTAAAGCACTTGAAACTTATAGGTGGAAGAGATAAAGATCTAAGGGTATTGTCCATTTATACTCTTTTAACTTTACATCAGTAATGGGTTGTGAGTTGATTTACGAGAAACACCTGATGTAAGGCCTGATTACGAAAATCCCCGTCATGTTTGCGTAATTATAAAATCCCACTAAGGTATGTTGCCGTCTTACACAGACCCCCTATGGGGTTACTTTTGACCGAATCTTTTTTATTCCATGGAATATTCCTCTGAAAATGCCATTTTTGCCCTTGAACATGTGTGACTACTATTCACAGAGTGTAATTGTAAGCATATTAATTACTTAGGGGGTTTACTCAAAAAAAAATTACTTAGGGGGTAAATTATAATATATTTTTAAAAAATGTACTTAGTTTTAATTTTAAAACTATTATGTATTTCTTCATTTTATAATTTACAGAAAATATATATAGAAAAAATTATTTTTAAAAAAAACTAAAAATATTTTGTAGTATTTCAGTAAAGGAATTAAAAATTAAGATATATATATACACACACACACACACACACACACATATATATATTCTTGTAATTTTTTTGTTTACATTTTTATAACTTTTTATTCAATAAAATCGATTTTACATGCAGTGTCGGTCGCATTCTTCGGCGACCGTTGTGTGTATGGACAGTTTGGTGGCTAAAAGGCCAAATACAGAAAAGTGGTGGTGACGGCGAGTTTAAAGCTCGAATAAGGAAATAGAATTAAGATTTCTCTTTTACTTCATTATTCCAGGAGATATTAGGGTAATTGTCAATATATTTTTTTCGTGAAAACTGAAAAGTAACACCGTAGGGGGATTTTGTAAGACGGCAACATAACTCAGGAGGATTTTCGTAACTACACATAACATGAGATGTTTTCGTAATTAGGCCTTACTTTAGGGGGTATCTCGTAATTTACCTTTTGGTTTTTTTTTCAAATAACCGAGGGTAAAACGGACAAAACACATCTGCTGTGATTTCAACGGTCAAATACTGCAGAGGGGGATTCTCGTAATCACGCAATCACGAGAGGGATTTTCGTAATCAGGCCTTACCCTCACGGGGGTTTCTCGTAATTTTCCCTTTATTAATATCCTAATAGAGAGGGAGAAAGTGACAAAGTTATGGGAGCTGAGAAAAGCTTAACCAGGGTTACCAGAAAAAAATGGGTAGAGGTGAGTTATCTGAGAGAGTAAAGAAGATGCGGCAATGTGGTTTTCTTGCAGGTGACTATCGAACCAAATTAAATGATTGGTGCACATGTATCAGGTTTCCCAAAGAGAGTTACCTAATGAAAAGCTAAACAAAGTAAAAAGAAGCGACCTTAGTATCACCCACCCAGCTGAAACTTATCGCATCCCATATTTTCAATCAAATTTCGACATTAGTTATAACTAAAATCACTTCAACCATTTCAAAGAAAATGACATATTCACAGAAACAAGTAAAGTTTTAAGATTTATGATTCATCAAAATATGCAACAGAATACGAAAGGAAGCTAACCAAGTAAAGAGATACTTACAGAAACAATCATCTTCTTGGCCACAAGTTCAGATGACTCATAAAGAGGTCGTGCCACCTCTGGGATGGATGATGCCTAAAACAATTTGATTCCTTTTAATTCAAATTCTCGTAATAGGTTAAGGATATTAATTTTTCTATCTAGCTAAATCGATAAATGGATAGTACCTCCAAATCCATGTGGTCAACAAGATATACGGTTGATCCGTCATCACGTGGGCGAACCAAATAGCCACTAGCCATCATCCTGCCTCGCACAAATTCTAAGGCAGCAGGTGAACTTGGGGCAGCATCAGAACCAGAAATTGATTTCTCACATACCTTAACATAAAATATAAGAACTAGAATTAAGTACAGCTAAAAATATACAACGGTACGTTTATCTGTGTGAGAATAATATACATGAAAGCTACAGTCTGTATCTAAAACAGGTCAATTTGCTAGTTAGTCAGTCCATGGACATATTTTCCCATCTCATAGCAAGGAAAGATTAGTCATACCACATAGCTACCGTCACCCAACATGCACGTGTATCTTAATGTCCAGAAGTCTCGAGCACAAGCCATGATAATGGGAGCATAGTACTGGACAAGAAAGTCAATGTTTAGAAGAAAAATAAATAGCGATAAAAAATTACAGTAGGAAAACCTTCAACCTATAACTTTCATGAGTCTTGGGCAAATGTTCGAAATATTTTAGTATATTCATATACTAAAATATTGGTGTTACCTGTGTATAGATTAGTTCAATGGTTCCCCCATTGTTCGCAGGATATTTGGCAATAACATCTATATTACGGCACCGTCGAGACCAGGAGGGTCGGTCTTTGAGGAGTTCAATTGTCTGCATGAAATGGAAACGAACATTTGTTTAAGCATATTATAAATCAAAATAAAAGGACTGGCAGTTTTCCTTGAAGTTTCACTACTAAAATAATTGATGTGTAATATGACCACATTAGCAGTAAAAAGTGACGAATTTCTAGATGCCACGGAAACTAGCTGTTTTTTTTTGTTTATCGCTCTTGTTTAGTTTCTCAGTTCTCCCACTATATAACTTAGATGTGTTGTTTGAAAGAGATAAGACACACAGAAACCAACTTTAAAGCAAGCTATGCTCTGCTAATAACGTAGATATAGGATCTTATAAGATGAAAATAGGTCTTGCCTTAATAGGTTTAAAAGGTACTGTAGCGAATGCTCGGGCTGCCACTCCAATGCAACTAGATGAGACATAGATAGTGCCAAGTGAACCTGGATTGCGTAGCTGAAAAGAAACAAATGTATGGATCAACAAAAGCATACGATAGCCTTCAAAATAACTCCTAAAAGCATGCTACAGTCATAACCTTTAGCCATGGAACAGGGATCCAGTTAATAGCAGTTCCAACAGCTTTGGAGAGGAATTCTTTCTTGGTTTCCTCAGCCAGTGAGAGCAGGCTACATAATCGAGAATTAGAAAACAAGTAATCAGAGCGATAGGATAACTGAAAATAAATAATGTATAAATTTAATGGCACTCCACAATACCCATTGTTGCTGTTAGCAATCCTAATGGGCATCTGAGGGTTATTGGTTTCAGGCTGATGGACCAAGTCATAGGTGGTGATTGTTGTAGTTAACTGCATCAGAATTATTCACTCCATAAGTATCGACAAAGGTTAAAAGCCTTGTAAACAATATAAAATCCTCATTTTAACAGAACAATCGCAACATTATTTTAACATGCAGCCTAATTTTCTTTACTTCTAATCCTAGAAAAAAGTAAAATCATGCAAGATAACACTTTTCTGGCATATAACAAAAATCCATGGCAAGAAGAAGCATGAACATTAATCTTTCTACACATTGACACCTCCCAGAGACAGGTTTTACCTGTTTGTATCAACCTGCAAACCAGAAAAGGATACGAGAGAGTCCAAGACTTGTGAGGGAAATTCCCTGAATGTAGCCGTGAAATCCATATACCACACATCAACTAAAAGAAACACTATCGAGTAACATAACTGGTAACAATTATTAGTTAGTACTATCACATGATATAATATGCATCTCAATAGATCTATATTAGGAAAGAATTCCTAATAGACTATTTGCTAAAGCTTAAGGATTTGGCACCATTCTCTTGACGAGAACAGTGTTGTATGGCATATTCAACTGAGGTATGAAATTTTGGGGAATACAGCTAACACCAATATTTTAGTATATGAATCCAAATATATCCACAATATACTCGATTGAACATTGCATAGTACAAAAGACATCTATTTGAAGTCCAGAACTACAATACATACATTGAGGACTTGGTTCCGCAAATGCTCATTCTCACATATTAGCTGGGCTAACTTTTTCTGCAATCCATCATTCTCCTGCCTTAACATCTTGTTTGCCGCAGTCAACCGCCTGTTTTCTGAAGCAAGATCGCAATTTTCTTTTCTCTGCTTTTCACGACATCTGGAAATGGTGGAAGAAAGAACAGTTTGATATTATGTCAAGTTTATTTTAAAGTAAAAACTGACTAAGAGAAACACAACTAGTGCTTCAAAGGAAACTTTGTAGATCTCTTAAAAATGAGATCTACAAATGAGAAATCAGGTATGCATCTCAACCCCCAATATTCCATGTTTCACACCATTAAGCATCATCTCAATTGAGAAAGTATTCAGGGTACATATTCCAGTCCTAAGATATGCGATCTTACCATCTTACACGGGCTATGCATATCCACGAAAGACAAAATTGGTTGCCTTGTGGATAATTTTAGTATTAAAAGTGCTAGAATATGCTATATAAATGCAATCACTTGAAAATGCCTACAAGAATGCCCCAGTAAAAAGATCGCAAGGCTGGATGAATGACTCAGCATCTACAATGACTTTTTTTCACTTTTATTCAGAAACTATTTCAAATTGGTGATTTCTACAAAATCTGCAAGAACTTTCAAGAAAACCAAGTGAACTAACATATAGTCTAATTGACTAATGAAGGAAGCCAAACCATGAAATAAATATCAAATGTATGTTTAATTTTATGAAAACTTAAGGCTCATTGACCATCACCAAGAAACAACTAGTCTGAATCAGCAAAAACAAGGGGCTACTTATCTAAAATATTCAGATCTATCAAAATCTGGATAAACCATAACAATTTTCATGATGAAACATATTGAGATGGAACGAAGGAAAAGTCAGTAAAAGATCGAGACAGAAACGAAGTTGGAGAGAAGTAAATATTTCACCTGCGGTTTTGGAACCAGACTTTGAGTTGTTTGTTGTCTATGTTCCTCAGAGTAGGTTCTTCGCGTATGATCTGAGCCCGCTGAAAATGGTTTGGACTTGAGCACTCTGCATAAAGTTTTTCAAGAACCTCGATCTGTTGTTCTGTGTATCGAGCGTATCTTGCTCCCGCTTCACGTTGCCTTCTCACACCCTTAACTCTTTTGCTACCCGCACCAACTGTTACTCCTTCCATTAGAACAACCACAACTTCAGTGTTTTGACTCAAAAACTACAATCTGTAAAATCTATCTATGATCAACCTTATGAAAAATCTATGATTTTCACACATAAAAAGCAATGGCCTAATAGATGCTTTAAACCAATATAATTGTAGGCCTTTTATAGCCCAAAAAGTCAAAAACTCCTTATTTGCTTGTAAAAAATTCGAAAAATCACAAACAAAAACCCGTGGATTCTTTAAGACTCCAGTCTAAATTCTATCGGATTGTGATAAAGCGATTCTGTAACTTCCTAATCTGCACGAGGCAAATGTTCGGATTGTATTGGGTTGTTCGAGTCTGGAAAAAAGGTCATTTAAAGCACTTTAATTTGCTGAACTGGATGCCATACAATATGCTGTCAACCTTGAACATATATTACTACAATCTCAACTGGTTTTGTCTTTTTCGTTTTTACTTTTCACCCACCAGCTCTTACCAATTATATTTCACAAAATCTTCACCGTCCAAATTTATATCTTTAAGCGCTGATTAATTATGAAGAAATTCATACATAATCAACAAACATACCATTTCACAACCACAAAACCATTTAATCAATCTTATTTCCATGCTCATCAAGAATAAGAAGCTAGCATAATGCATACAAAAATATATGTTATGCTCAACCGCCCATGTATTAGTCTCGTAAAATAAATTAAGTGGCATTTTTCACATTTTTCATTTTAGTAAAACCGAACGAGGAACGCAAACACATTATAAGCATACAAATCATAAAATACATGCAAATACACAAACATATACATACAATTATCCGACGATGCATTTATAACATACTTCTTATACAAATAAATCCACATTAAATGGTGCCAGAAAAAAAAATCAAGCAATAAATATTAATTTAACTCCCACATAAATTCACACTCACGGCCAAAGAAATCAAGGCATGTAAATCAATGTGCCACCTTATTACAAAGGCATGTAAATCAATGTGCCTGTTAATTCTGAGTTTGCATAAATAAATACCGCCATAATCAAATTGTAAAAACCAATCCAATTACACAACAGATAAACATCAAATAAATGAGCCATAAATGCAAAAAAAATCCAAAAAAAAATTAAAAATTGTACATACCAAATAAAATACTAGGCATTTCTTTCCGCGAGATTGACATAATTTCGATTTAAAAAAATTCAAATAACAAACAAATTTGTGTACACGCACAATACCGTAGGGTGTGTGTACAGATTTTGGATGAGAGCCATCCTACAGTGTAGACAGCTGTACACGCTCCGATTTGCCGCGAGTGGGGAATACGTCTCCCGAAAATTAAATTCGAAAACACAAAGACGATGCCCAACGATTTCCGCCATTGTTACTTCTGAAAACAAGCGATGAAAAAAATAGCCGAAGAGGGAATTTTGCCCCTTTGTTATGATTGCTGAGGGCGGGAATTGGGAATGGGGAATGTGGGTGATAATGACTTGTTAAAACAATTATTGAGTACCAATAGTAACTTTTATAAAGTTTTGGGTTAAAAAACAAAAATAAATTAAATATTGGTTTAATTGATAATTGTTCTAATATTTTTCATATTATAATTAAAGGTTAATTAATTCATACAAATGTATATATCTTTAGAACCTCATGTTTATGTGTGTCCATCGTTTTTATTAGGATCGATGTAGCACGGAAATTTCAACTGCATAGAGTTTCCGTGTTTCGGACATGTTTCGTGTCTGACACTCCAGGACACTTGTCGAACAGTTTTACGGGCTATTTTATAATTTCTAAAAAGTTAAAAACATGTTTGAATAGCAAATTCAAATATTTTTGTTGTTTTCTTAATTGTGTATTTAATGATGAATTGCAAATTTATAGACATAGTTGATAGTAAACAAAAACTTGAATATGTTTGTATGAAATGTATAAGAAGAATTTATATATAAATAAAAATTTATATATGTTTATATAGTATATTTATAAATATACCATATACTTTAAATATTAACACGTTTTCCCACAAACTCATGTATCCCAATTTTGAGATGCTTATTAGATGTTTGAGATTAAAGAACAAAAAAACCAACATTTTTCTTCTTTAAGATTGAAACTATGAGCATAAATTTTTTTTTATCTAAGAACATAATACATATCATTTATTTTTATTTAAAATGATATAAGATTAATGTTTATTAAATTATATAAAATAGTCTGATTGAGCTTTTTAGGAACTCTCTTAGTGTAAATGTACTAATAATATTGAGATCTACAAAATTGATAAAATAAAATAAAATAAAAAATAAATAAATAAAAAGTCTTGATTTTTGTTTGGCCACCATAATCTTGGGATGTTTTGAATTGTTAGATAGGTAATATGAATTGAAACTTTTAGAATTTTTGAGATAATTTTGTAAATAAAAAGTAATTATTTTTGACTAAAACGTGTAATGTAAATATAGTCTTGATCGAATTCGTAATATTTTGAAAGTTTTTTAAGGAAATGAAGTCAAAGAACTCATAATTTCCGTAAATCGATTTTAGCAACCTAGTGAAAGAAATTTAAGCGATCGAACATTTTTGCATTGTATCATATCTTGTGATTTTATGTTGCGTTGACGGTCTATGCTATTCTTTTTTGGTAATTTAGTAGCCGAGTATTAGATTTAGTATTAAATATAATATTTATTAAATTGATTCGTTTAGATTTATGTACTCATTGCACGGTCAAATAAAATAGGATGGAGGGAGTAATTCATCTGAATTGGTAAGCGAATATTTCCCTTGAATAGTTAGAGATCGTAATTCACTATATCTTACTACTCAACGAAAATCTTCTATGACCAACTGACATGAATTACTCCCTCCATTTCATTTTATCTGTTACTTTGGCTAAAAAATATACTGAATTATATGTCATTTTATAATTCGAGCGAATCATTAATTGTATTTTTTATGGTGTTTGTAAATGCATTTAGAAACAATTTATGAACCTTTTTTGTGCTCATAATTTGCTTTTAGGTTTTTGAAAAATTAACTTTTGTTTTTTCATCTTCTAAAATAAGTCGTTTTAAGTTATTTTTGGAAAAACACTTATAAACCTGATTTTTCTATTTAATTTCACTTCCTAGTATATTTGCAAACACCTCCAACTCTCGTAAATAAATACTTAATACTCACTTAATCCTCAATCACTAACTTTTAATTTTTTACTCTAAAAAAAAACTAATACTTTTGAATAAGCTTTTACAAACGACGCCATTTTTTGTTTAACTTATAAAATCTTGATCCTTATGTAAAGAACATTTTTTTTTTTTATGAAAACATCTTTTCTAATATTTAAATACGTACACTATACGGAAATACAAGGGTAAATTACGATCAACTCCTATCTGAAGTAATGTCAAATTACATAAGAACCTCTTATGTTTGAGTAATTACAACCATTCTCTCAACTATGAATCTTCTTACACGTATATTACTGTGGTGCCAAATTTAATGGAATCTTTTAGATTATATGGAATATTCTCCAATTTGTACCCATTTGACCCCAACTCGAGCTCCACATTTTGAAACAAGATGACCAGAAGTTGTGTCTATTGGCTTATAAATATTAGATTGTGGTGCATCAGAAACTACATTTTTGTACAAAATAAGTACAAACTATAGAACATTCCACGGAATATGGAAGTATTGTTGAATTTAACACCATAAGGATGAATGTGTAAGAAGATTCATAATTGACGGGTGGTTGTAATGACCCAAACATAAGATTTTTTTTCATAATTTGACCTTACCTCAGGGGTGACCGTAATTTATCCTAAATATAATCGTGATATTTACAGTTTCATACCTTATGTTTGCTATGATATCACGTTTGATCCCATGTTCAAAAAAATACATTGGTCCCTCATGTTTCAATAATTTAACATTATTGATCATTTTCGTCAATTTACCGTTAGTACGTCAGTTAAATCAGTGATGGGAATACGTTTGATGGAACGGAATATTGACAGAAATGACTAAAAATGTTGAATATTTGAAATATGAGGGACCAAATATGTTCGTTGTGAACATGGGTGGTCAAATGGGAAATCTGTACAAACTTGAAGGGTGAAAACCGTATTTTCCCCAAATATAATCAATTGGGGTTTCCCGTCAAACCCTAGATAAACCTCCCTTAATTTTTCTTATCAATTTCTTCCCAAAATCCCCAAATTCCGAAGCCCTAATTACCAAATTCGCAGCCTGATTACTTCGAATTCCAGTGCGATTTTCAGTCGGTTGCTTTGAGGTGCGATTTCTGAACTGTAAGTATGGCATATTCTCTGTTTGTGCATGCCAGCTATAAATGGTGTTTAAAATTTTCAAATAATTGGTATAAGGAGGGCGTTAACATTCTTTTGCTGCAGAATGGAAAATGCAGAATACGAAAGGAGTGTATCAAAGGATGAAATCATCAAAATATATTCAGATTTCATGACGAGGTAAAACTCATGAAATTATATTTTATTAGTTTTTATATTCCATTAATTTATTTAATTTACTCTGAAAATTACTAGGATCACACAATTCGAAGAGCTTGTGTCGATAAGCAGCAGGTTTCTTGTCGGCTTTCATCAAGCGCTCGGTGAGTGTCTCTCTGTGGGTCTGCAAGTTACGACTTTTTACTCGTTTATTGGAGGTTTCGCACTCGTGGTTGATCGATAACGATTAACAACTCAAATTAGGTCTAAATTACAAATATTGCATTAATTATGGATTTCGCCTATACGATGCTCAGGGTTTTTAGGGCGGCCGTCGTTTGATAAGACATCTACGTTGGTTGAGCGCATCGTTAAAGCTCATGGTTCGAGTAGGGTTTTATCCTATGTCGAAGCTGGATGCGTCAACAGTCACGACAGTGTACAGAATGTGAGCAAATGTAAGTATTTTTTTTGACAATATTTTTAAAATTAAGGCAGTTATGTCGTATGTGCTCTCATATAGTCAATAAATAGCAACAAATCGTAATATGTTATTAACATTTTAAGATTTCGATTGCTTTATTCATTAGTTATGTTGTTTCGTGTGGTTAGGCGTGTTAAAAGCTCTCGGTTCTGTCCAGCTTTTATTTTACCTTCAAATGAAGTAACTTTCTCACACCTTAGTCCATGCAGCCTGTTCGATTAAGTTTTTTGTTATTTTAAAAATGAAAACTAAGGAAAATGGTTTGAAGATACTGGATCTATGTAATGTGTATGTTTCTAGCTTCGCGTGTAAGAATCATGTGAAATCTGTATATTGAGCATGTTCGGTTCTGATATTTATATTTAAATAAGAAGCGTAGAATTCATCCAATCACGCTCTATGTTTGCTGCGAGTAAGTGGTTGCATTCTTATTATATTTTTCCTTTTACTGCGTGGATTGTATTCAAAAACGTATTTCGAACTGTTGATTGCGTATAGTACATGATATATATAGCAAGGCATGAATTACCTTCAGAAGTTTCCAAATATTAATGATTCATATTTCACAAATTTTCTCGTACGACTACTATGTATTTTAATATAATTTAGGAGACCTAGAAATCGAACTGAACAATCGGTCGAGGGGCATACCGCAGTTAAGAGAGTGGCTCAAAATGGCATTTAAAACCATTCGTGCAATATAGTTCTAGAAGAAATAAATCAAGAATTTGGATACATGCGCTAAGGCAGCATGTCAAATATAATGCGATTTGAATGTCAACTTTTTTTTTTTTTTTTTTTCTCTTTTTGGTAATGCAATTTGATATTATTAGTTCAAACTATTTTGCCTAAATAATTTGCGGATGCCATGCAGAAGTGCGTACATGCCATCTCGGACTTCAGGATCACATGAATAAAGGTAATCCTTCTCAGAGTACTACAGCACACTTATAATTAATAATTGTTTGGAACACCTTTTGAGAAATATTGTTATTGTTTGAGGTCTTGGAGTTGCGATCTTAGTGAATGGGATATAGTAATTTTGCAAACGGGATATCGAATTTCGTTAATAATTAGGTACTATGACATCTGCCATACTAGCAAAAACTCTCGTTGTAACGTTTTCATGCACGGGATCAAATGTGCTCAAAATTATGTGCAGGCAGAGTTTGAATCTGATGCTTATATTTTTGTAGTGCGTATGATTTTGTTGTATCTATATATTGCATCTATACTTTTAATCAGTTATTTTTCTGATGAAAGTATACGCATTATTTTGATATAACCAGCTTGTCATGTTCTAGAGATAGTTGATAATCATTATTTTGATATAACCAGCTTGTCATATTCTAGAGATAGTTGATAATCATTATTTTTATAATATCATGTAAGCAACAACACACTATAGATTAATACGAGATTTCTCTTGGCTGCCAAAGATCCGGATTTGTCATATGTAATTGCAAAATTAAACAAAGAGACCATTTTGGAAAATCTCGGGGTTGAAAAACTTTTTCTATAAAACACACCATCGATTAATACGAGTTCTACCCAATCCCACTTATGACGTTTAATATGTGCTGGAGAGCAAACAACCATTGGATATGTGTTTTTGTTGTTAATATTATTTTTTTTGGGAGGGATGAGGTTATTAATTCTTCAAGTATATGATTTTCAGAATTTAGCTAAATGCTCGAAATCCGAATGTTTTCTTGCAGCTAAAGTTGTTGTCGATGAACTGAAATGCCTTATGGATGGCGCAGCATCCATTATGCAAACTGCAAATGGGAACAAGGAAGATGATAACCTCAATTTAGATTCTTTTGTTACTTCAAGCGAAGAAGTAAGAACTCTCTCTCTCCCTCCCTCCCTCCCTCCCCCCCCCTCTCTCTCTCTCTCACACACACACACACACACACACACGAACCGCCACTGTTATTTCCAGCTACAAGTAACAGTTAACCGTGTATAAACGGTATTCTCTTCTTAACACCCGAATACACTAAATAATGTGTTTTTTTTTCCCCTTCTCCAAGTAATATGACTAATTTTGTGGATGCTGAGGTTTTTTGGTAATTGTATGTTTACTAGGAGGAGGCACCATCATCAGACCTTTCGAAACCCGAAGTTACTGATTATGCTATTATGATGGCTATTATATACAGTATGGTGAAACAAGATTACACAATGCAGGTATATTAACACTTCGTTTCCAAATTCTTACCTAATTTTTCGATACACACACACACACACACACACACACACACACACACACACACATATATATATATATATAAATTTTTTTTGCCACCCTTTTTCTGGTCCACGAGTATAAAAAGCTCGAATAAATTGTGCAATTGCAGGTGCGGATTGTATCGTCGCTCAATCTGAAGTCTTCATCGGAGGAATTGGAGACCTATTGCCAGATGTGGTCTTTACGACCTTTTGTAGATGATGACAAAATGCGTAAAGCTTGGAGTCTTGTCCCGTTTTCGTAATTTTGTAAGAATTTATTAGTGCGGGTTTCTTGTGGCATTACATTAAGTGTTCTTGTTATTGACAAGGATTTGAAGTCCACAGGCATGCAAATTTGGAAGAATGTTTTTTGAATTTCTCCGATTCGATACAATTTATTTAAACAATGCTTTTTATTCCGAATTCCGTCAATTCTAATTGACGATTTTTCATATTTTTTTTAATGAAATAAGAATATATACTAGATTCCAATTACCAATCAGATTAAAATAATTTTGGTATTTTATTTTCTTTGTTTTTTGTTTATACTAAAAATCATACTTATAATATCGAAATATTATTATTCATTTTATATCATAGTTGAATACAAAATTAAAATTCCGATTTTCGACGATTCCACTCCAAAAATCCTGAATTCAGAATTTTTTTTATCATTTAAGTTTCCAAACATTTTGATTTTCGATTTTTAAAACAAATTCGGTACGTAATTGGAGTTATTTTTCCACTCCTAAATAGATTTAAAATGACAATAATACTCAATTTATTTATAATAAAGGAGTGAAAAAACCAAATATTCATAAATTTCAAGAAATTTTTAATTTTGTATAAAACGAAGGGCCAAATTTAATTTTTTTAAATTTGATAATAAATTCTTAAACGAAGCCCTGGTTTCTCTAGTCACACATATACTCTCTTCCAGAACCACCGAACATGAGAAGGAAACGCGGCGGCGCCGGCGGTGGTGGTGGCGACGGAGCAAACCGGTCGAGTTTCGATCGAGAGCTCCGCCGCGATATCCTCGAAGACTGGAAGAGCTACGAAACAGTCGAGCAATTGGTGGAGCACCTCCGCTCCAAATACCCCCACTACGCCCGTCAGAAGCGGCAGCCCTTCACCAAACGCGTGGACCCGATTTTCCAGTCCATAAGCCGGAGAAACGACGCCGTCTATGATTCCAACGGCGACGGAGATACTCCAGTTAAAAAGAAACGGAGGAAAACGGACGACGAGAGGGAAGAGAAACTACAGCGTATTGAGGCTCAGCACTTGAGGAGCCGGAGCAGAGGCGGCGATGCTTCGAACAACAACAGCAGCAGCGGCGGCGGCGGCTCGTCTTCATCTGTGGACTCCGCTGGCTCCTCCGATGAAGAGGTGTCCACGTCATCAGCAGATGCCATATTTGGGGAGAAGTTTGAGCCGGAATTCGACGTGCTGAAGTCGATGATGAGGGAGAATTTGCGTAAGAAAACGAAGAAATTGGGGGTGAAGAATGTGACAGAGGTTAAGGAAGATTTAGAATTGGAGATTGTGGATAACAAGGGTGTGAAGAATGTGAACTTAGTGAATGAGGAAGGTAAATCGGGCAATACTCCGAGGAAAATTAGTAAGAAAAATAGCAATGGTGAGATTAGCAATGAGATTAAAGGGCCAATGTTTAAAGATTTAGGGGGAATGTGTAGAGTGATTGAGGAATTAAAGATGGAGGTTATCGTGCCGTTGTATCATCCACATCTGCCACGCCGCCTCGGAGTCAAACCTATGGCGGGGATTTTATTGCACGGGCCACCAGGTTGTGGGAAGACAAAGTTGGCTCATGCCATTGCTAACGAGACCGGAATTCCATTTTACAAAATTTCCGCGACTGAATTGGTTTCTGGAGTTTCAGGTATATTACATTTTTTTCGAGGTTATTGTAAGCTTGGTTAATTGTGCGAAATGCGAATTACTGTTGCGAATGCATGGTTTAATTTTTTGAAAGGGACTCGATAAGATTTGGTGATAACAGCTTTATCCCGATGCAATGAAGATGTGTAGATTTATACGAGGATTAGCTACAGTATGGCACATTTCCGAATTTTGTGTTACCTCTACATAATATGATTACATTTGACGTGATATTTTAATAAATGCAAAAAGAGTAATTGCTGAGATCCAATTGAATGAAACGTTGTTGAAATTGAGTTCACCAGAGCATGGCTTTGATCTGTTGGTTTATTAAGGTCCTCGTAAATTGATCGACCAGATTTATGGTTTATATGTTGGTCGTAATCTGCTATCTGTGCGACCTGGATTCAAATGCCATGCTTAGTTACATTAGGATCGTGATGTTACACTGATATACATGTATGGTTTTTCTTTCTTTTGTGCAATAATTTTCATAAAATAGCCTGAAAGTACCTTCGTCTTCGGCAAGTTAGTTTGATAAACAAACTGCAACAATTCTACAGTTTTCTGAAGTCTACTTGTCAACCAAACACACCATCACTTTCTGTTATCGCATATCAATATTCACCACTCCGAGATCATATTGTGGGAATAAACTTTAGAGCTCAACTTTCTATTTTCTTTTAGGTTTACGTTTTTATAGAACTTAAAGCTCACCTTGAGGATTCATCGTCTCTTTCTTTTTCCTTTGTCTTTTGTGAACCTCTTCAGGTGCATCAGAAGAAAATATTCGAGACTTGTTCTCAAAAGCATACAGGACAGCACCATCTATCGTCTTCATCGATGAAATTGATGCAATTGCTTCAAAAAGGGAAAATCTGCAGAGGGAAATGGAGCGGCGCATTGTGACACAGTTGATGACATGCATGGACGAATCAAACAGGCTTGTAAAACCTGTTGACAACGATGCAGATTCTGAAAATTCTGGTTCCAGACCTGGCTACGTGCTTGTAATTGGAGCAACTAACAGACCCGATGCTGTTGACTCTGCCTTAAGGAGGCCTGGAAGATTTGATCGTGAAATTGTTTTAGGTGTTCCAGACGAAAGTGCTCGGATTGAAATACTGTCTGTGCTGACTCACAACCTTAAAGTTGAAGGTGCTTTTGATCTTGGGAAAATAGCTAGGGCTACTCCGGGGTTTGTTGGAGCAGATTTGGCAGCACTAGCCAACAAGGCTGGTAACCTTGCGATGAAGAGAATCATAGACGAGAGAAAGGCTGAGTTTTTCAAAGAATCTACAAGCAGGGACGGTAGTGAAGATTGGTGGAGGCAACCATGGTCAGACGAAGAAATGGAGAAACTCAGCATTACCATGAATGACTTTGAGGTAACCTGTCGGTAGATAGTGATTTGGTGTTGATGCTGGATTTTCATTTTTCCGCATTCAAATTTTCCAAACTACTGCGTAAACCTGACTTTGTATCTTTATAAGCTTTGATTCTGCAAAAAAAAGACACTAGTTATGTTCACATACTCCATGTGAAGCAGACAGAAAACAATTACTGTAAATTTGTATCGACAACTACCTAAATGATAATTCAACTACATAATTAATAGAACCAAAATTGCTTTTAACCGATATTCTGATGCATATGAGCTTTCCATTACACTGATGGCAGGAAGCTGCTAAAATGGTTCAACCTTCTTCTAGAAGGGAAGGATTTTCTGCTATACCAACTGAGAAATGGGATGATGTTGGAGGTCTTAGTTTGCTCAGACAGGAGTTTGACAGCTATATAGTTAGACGTGTAAAGTTTCCTGAAGAGTATGAGGTAAGTTATCCAATTGTGTAATTCATTGAGCTTATCTAGATTATTTTGCAGTAAAACAAGACTCTTTTCTTTCTGCATAGATTTAAATTTCTCAGCAGCCGATTAAATTGTCTGTGTTCAATGTTTCTGGTAACAATGTCATTTTTGTTCTATTCTATCGAACTGCATCAGAATTGTATAAAACTTGAATTCATTTAGACTGTAATTATGTAAAAATAAGCATATCTATCCCCTACAAAAGAGCTGTCAGTATATTTTTCTACTTGCCCTTCCACTAAGCAACTCTCAGGTATTTGGAGCCGTTAATTAAATTCTGTGTTTGTAGGAATTTGGGGTGAATTTGGAGACGGGATTTTTACTTTATGGGCCTCCAGGCTGCGGAAAGACATTGATTGCCAAAGCTGTTGCTAATGAAGCGGGAGCTAATTTTATACATATCAAGGTTCTCCCTTAGTGTTTTCTTTTTTTTTTGACCATAATTTACTTTGGGAAAATCGAGACAGTGATTTCTTACAGTATTACTTTTCTTCTACATCAAGGGCCCTGAGCTTCTGAACAAATATGTCGGTGAAAGTGAGTTGGCAGTGCGGACAATATTCAATCGTGCTAGAACATGTTCTCCATGCATCCTTTTCTTCGATGAGGTACTTTTTGTTTTCCTTGTAACTGTTTTCCGGTCTCGTATTAGTCCGACGGTTTCATTTTTGTTGATGTTGTCTTAACATGGTTTGTTGTACTAGAAAAACTTAAAACATCCGTGAATCGCTGACTAAGAATGATCTTTGATGTATAAATTCGGATCTCAGAATTGTTTGCCTACTTGATTGTTTCGCTCAGAAAATTTGGTCACGAGGCGTATATATTTTTATCAGGTGGATGCATTGACAACAAAGCGTGGTACAGAAGGGGGTTGGGTTGTTGAGCGGCTCTTGAACCAGGTTACTAAAGCAACACCTTTCCAACGGGATATTTATTTAAAATTTAATTTTACTTAAATTGTACACACCTTTATGGACTGAGAATGGATGATATCTGCCATTGCAGCTTCTAATAGAGCTAGACGGTGCAGAACATAGACGGGGTGTTTATGTGATTGGCGCTACAAATAGGTAAGTTCGAAGTTTTTTCAGGTTTTCGGACATTTTCATGGAATGTTGACTAGAATATATTCTACCGAAATATTTATCATTTGGTCCCTTATCTTGACATTTCTCATCTTGCTGACGTATTGGCAGGCCCGAAGTCATGGACCGGGCTTTGCTTCGGCCCGGAAGATTTGGGAAGCTTATGTATGTTCCTCTCCCTACTCCAGATGAAAGAGGAATGATTTTGAAAGCTCATGCTCGGAAAATGCCCATAGATGCCAATGTGGACCTGATAGCTCTTGGCAAAGACAGTGCGTGTGAAAAATCTAGTGGCGCTGATCTCAAAGCTCTGGTAAATTCTCTATCTTTTTGCCTTCGGCTCCTCCTTTTTTTTTTTTTTTTTTTTTTTTAAAAA